GGCGTCGCTGCGCGCCCGGGCTCGGCGCGCCGGCCACCAATGCGAGGGGCGCCCCCGATGCGCGTGCCCGGCGCCGCGGGGGGCCCCGCGGGGGCCCAGGTGCTGGCTGGGGAGGCCGGCGGCGGCCGAGCGGACGAAGCGCCGGAACCGCGCCTCTGGATGGCGACAGAGACGGCCCGGCGCGCCCGCGGCCTGGGCACCTCGCGGGGGGGACGGGCCGGCCAGCGTGAAGTTTGTGTACTGGGGCTGTGTGGTCCGCAGGCCCTTGGCGCCCACATCCTTTCCCCGCCCCTGCCTACAACGCTGGGTCCCAGACCTTGCCTGGGCTGGGGTTACCAGAGTTTATTCCAAGTATAGGGGGCTTTGGACCCTTTACGCGGATGGGCCTTGTCATCCCTGTTCTGGGTTTTTTGTTGGCGTCCTCAAACCCTTGGAGAGCACAGCCTTGGACCCGCGCAGAGTCAGCTGAGCACCCAGGAAAGGCTGCTCCTTTCCCCAGGCCGGGCACTGCCAGGCCAGGACACACGTCCCAGGAGCCCTGTCCTCGGCCCCTCTGCAGTGCCTCCACCTCTGCCTACTGTCCTGGCCTCGGTGAGCGGTCTCCACGCGCACCATTCACAAGGCTCCAGTCTTGTGTCTCTAAATTCCCCACCCGGCACTGGTCTCCTGTGTTAATGCCGAGGATGGAGAAAGTGCGTCCTCTGAGGTCACTTTCCCCATCCCCACTCCTCCCTCGCCTGTCCCCTCGGCAAGACAGCTCCCAAGTCCAGGTGCTGACCAGATGGTCCAGCTACCCGGGGAGGCTCTGACCCTGCGGTGCCCAGACACACCGTCCGCCTGAGCACTGCCTCCCTGCCGGCTCGTGGACACGCCATAGAGACGCATCCTTCCCAATTCAGGGGTTCTTCCGGATTCTGCGTGAGGACGGGGAGCTGGGGACCCATGAGGTACTGTTGGAGCTGAGGACCCTTTCTCAGGAGCCACTAGAGGGCCTGAGCGCTGATTGAATAGCTGGGAGAAGCAGAGATGGAAGAAGTTCACTCACGTCCCTCCTTTCGCCTGAGTCCTGGCTGGGGAGGCCCCTGAGGAACCAGGGAGACTGGCGTGAGGGCGTGAGGGGACAGCTCTCCCAGGAGCACGCACACGTGCACATCACACACATGTGCACACAGCATATACACACACACACAACATACATGCATATACGCGCACGCACGCGCGCGCACACACACACACACACACACACACAGTGGGGGCAGCGAGCACGCAGAGAGCAGAAGACGCAGGCCAGGTGGTCTGTCTGGACCCAGGGGTCGGCTCCGTGGGCGCCTTGGCCAGGGGCTCGGGCAGGGCTGGTGTTGTAATATGGTTGTATCCAGGCTGATTTTCTTCATACATTTTCTGGTCCTGGTTAATTACAGTCTTCTGACTTCCCGTCTCAGTGTCTTCCCAACTGCGGCTGCCCGTCTCCCTTGGCTGGCAGGGAGGTGCTGCAGAACCTGGACCCCTGAGAACTGGCGGGGGTGGGCGGGCAAGAGGGCAGGACCCCTTGTCTCCTCTGCCTCTGGCTCAGGGAGGGGCGCCTCAACCGGAGTACATGGAGCCGCCCTGGATGCCTGCATCGCCTTCACAATTCATTCATTTGATTTCATCCTGTTAAAAGGATGTACCTTGTAAAAACGTTACATCTTGCATTTCATCCTGTGCATTGTTCTGGGCATTCATTTACTCAATGTCAATTTACTGAGCACCTACGAGATGCCAGGTGCTGGAGGAGGGAAAGTGGACCAGGCATGCACTTTCTGTCCCCTGGAAATGTGTGGCTGTTTTAGGAAACCAGCCACTACAGTGCAGTGTGGCGGGTGCTGTGAAGGGGGGAGGGCCGTTAGAGAGCCCGCTGGGGCAGAGGAGAGGAGAGTTGGCCCAAATCAGGTTGTGGGGTTCCATAAGGGCGTCCCAGGGAAGCTTCCAGTGGTTTTCACACATTTTTGGTGCCATCCTTAAGACACACACACACACAGGCAGACAAACGCTTGAAAGTCTCACAGAACAATACTTATACCCTCAATACTCTCTGATATGTTCGATCCTATCCTAATTCATTTCTTAAAGTGCTGGTTGCCCACCCAATAATTTTTGCTCACTGTAATTTCCTTTGCTTCACAAACACTGTTCTACAGAGAGATGGGGTCCGTGTTGAACTTGGAAGGATAGATCGGGGCTGTCCTGCGAAGGATGCAGGAGATGGTGATGGTGGATGGTTGGGGAGGGTGGTCTGAGCAGAAGGAGGGGACACGCTGAATGAAACAGTCTCCTTCATCCTGAAACTCAGGCCGGGAGATTTTTGTGGCCGCAATGTCAGGAGTTTGACATGTATTAAAAAAAAGAAAATTCAGTGGCGCTTGTTGAAGACGGTAAGGCAGACTATTCAGGGCCATCATGATGTGTACGGGGACCACTGGGATAGGATTTTGCAGTGGGGGAAACAGACTGGGCTCAACCCCGCCTGCCGCATGGGTGAGTGGACATTTATGGCCAAGGAGCAGGTGAGAGTCAGTGGATGGAAAATGAATAACAGGAAACATCAGGGGTGGGGGGGTGGGGGGGCTTCTGGCGAAGCCGACCCAACAGGATTCTTGCTGCAGGCAGGCCAGGTGGTCAGAGGTCACCTGGGGGAGTGGGGGAGGGTAAGGAGCCTGATCAGGTTCTGAATAAACAGACCTAGCAGCCTTCTTGGTAAAAGTGGATCCTACAAGGAAGTAGGGCCTAGAGAAGGTTCTGGAGCCTGACTGAAGATTGCTCGAGCAAAGAACCTTTGTCAGGTGGAAAACTTTAGGAAGTCGGAGTGGATCGACCAGTTCATGCCCTGTACTGAAAACTCTCACCAGAGAGAGGAAGAATAATGGAGTTCTTGGTGCTTATGACTCGGAATCCAGGGACATGGAGAGCTGGACACCCAGTGAGGCCGGAAGGGGTAAGGTGGTGGGAAAAGAGACAAGGCTGGGGCCTCCTGACCGGAGGCCGGCGATCCTGACCTGATCACAACGGCACAGCTAGGAGGCAGCCCAGAAGTAGGGACAGACACCGGTGGTTCCTGGAGGCCCCGTGAGGGACCAAGATGGAAACAGGATGGGGATGAGCAGAGCGCTGAATTCTGTTGCTAGGCAACAGAAAGCCAGCTCTGGATCCAAGCACACTACCCAGTGACAGTTTGTTGTTGTTGAGTGGCTGGTTTTGATTACTAGCCAGAACTGATAGAACATTAAATTTTGAAACTCGGGTGAGTTTATTAGAGAATCACACCACCACCTTCACTTCAAGCCTAGGAAACAAGGGATGGAAGTGTTCGACCCCGAGGAAATCCTTGGGTCTCACCCCACATCAAGTGGCTAGTCACAGGGCTGCTGAGACCTGGCCCGGGGAGGGGCGCCCTGCACCGTGGACGGCTCAGGTGGCCACGGAGGCAGGAATGGACAGACCCCGTAGAGGAGGCGTGGCTCGTGAGGGTGGGTCCTCACGACTCCTTCCAAGTCTGGGCAGGAAATCTTGGCTCGTCTTCGAGATAAGCGTGCCTCATTTTCCCCGCTCTGCTTTTGAAAACAGGAATACTGGTTGTGGTTTTCCCATTCGCTTTTTCTCCTCCATACTGAATGTCATATTTGTCACTCTGTCATGGGCTGCCAGGCTCCCTGGCAGCTCCCAGAGCTCCTGAACTGAGCAGGATGTTTTAACTGGGTGAGATGGGATGTCTCCACTGGGACAACGGGGAGGGACTTTGTTATGAAAAAGCAGGTCCCCTTTTATGAAGAATACACGTGGGTTTAGGTAGCAGGCAGCTAAAGGGCTGGACTGTGGTGGGCCTGGCTGCCCCTCCTCTGGAAACACGGCCGGTTTCCCTTTGAGGGCTGGCACCCTCGTCTCCCGTGTGCGTTTGGAAAGACATCACTTCCAAAGTGAGTGCAGGGGGAGGGTGGGGGAGGGGAGGCAGGACAGCAGTCAGTCGGCAGCAGGTGTACAAGTCCATGTGAGAGGCAGGCTGGCCGCTTCTCTGGGAGAGAGGGGATGAGGGGACACAGGTGCACTCAGGAGCTGTTCAGGAGATGGGATTGACCGGCCATGGGAAATGGGAAGGGGGGGACCAGGATGGAGGTGTCCTGAGTGACTCCAAGACTCTGACTAGAAAACCGGGAAGAGGGTAGCGGTGTCTCCTTGCAGACGGCAAATAAGTGAGGTCAGCCGCTTCCTCTGTGAGCTTTCAGGCTGATGGGGAAGCTGCAGCCCAGAAGGAAGTATCAAAGGGCAGAAGATACCGAAGCAGGAGTGGGAAGTTTAGGCAGGTGCAGGCTGTGATCTCCAAGGAGATGGAGAGCAACCTGGTGGAACTCTCAGCCCCTGGAACAGTGCCTTCCAGGGACTTGGTAGAGGGAATCTGTGTGTCATTTTTATGAACAATCACCCATTTTATCGATTCAGTCTTAATAATGATAAGTGGTGCTTTTTCTGTCCTGTGTGCCAGGCTCTATTCCACGTTCTGGGCAGGTAGAGATGGTTGACTCAGCCTTCAGAATCATCCCCTGAA